AAGCTTCCTTGGCGAGTCCTTCGACCCCAGTGGCTCCCGGTACTCCAGAGGCACAGCGGCCAGGATTGCCTCCAGCGCTGAGCAGTCTTCTTCGTCCTCGGTGCCCTGGTCGATGACCTTCTAGAGCCTCCAAGCTCTGAGCTTGACCTTCATGGTCACCGCACACTCACCGTAGTTTGTGCGTGTTAGGACCGACCAGTTAGCCTCACTAACATCCTGCACGGCCCTATGCACAATGAGCTCCTGATGTGGCGGCGGAACCTTTGCTCCACCACCGTTCGCTGGTGAGCCATCCTCGCCTACCATTGCCGGTGATCAGCCGCGCAACAACAGCCTAGGCTCCGATACTACTTGTTGGCCCTCCGACTCCCTGCACAGGTGAGCAATCAGCTCACCAGTACCACACCACACCACACCACACTCATTCACGACTGGAGGTTGAAGAAAGGGTGAGAACAGAGAGCACACAAGCACAGCACAAGCAGCAGCACAGCTGCTCTGAATTGTGGCAAACTGAACTACTTTTTCCATTTACTAAACACCCTGATATAAACACAACTTAATGCACCTGCTACTGCTACTGTGCGCTTTAAAGGTGGGATGTGCTCTGTGCACTTAAAAAATAAGTGTGTGCAGCAGGGTGTGGCTGCTACTACATGATGTGCACTGTGCACTTAAAAAGTAAGTGTGTGCAGCAGGGTGCAGCTGCTACTACTGGATGTGCACTGTGCACTTAATAAAAAGTAAGGGGTGAGTGCAGCAGATTATCTGACACACGATACCTTCAAGCAAATTAATGTTCTCCATGTGGTCATTGTCTCTGGCAAATTCAGTACGATTGTTCTCTCCCACTTGATTACTCGTCAACATGTTGCTTGAACCAGAAATTTCTGTGAATGCACCATAACCTATTTCACCAACACACAAAAAAGGAGGATAAATAGGTAAATAAGTTCTTTTTAAAGAGAAGCCAGCAGATTAAACTGCAGTTCTATATATTAATAAAGGAGGAGTAAAAAAAGGTAAATAAGGTATTAGAAAGGCAAACTAGTTAACAGGACACTTAATCTTCAAGCAGATCAATGTTCATGATACCTTGAGGCAAATTAATGCTCCCCAAGTTGTTATTGTCCCTGGTAGCTTCAGCATAACCGTTCTGCCTGACTTGATCACTTGTTAACAGGCTGCCTGAACCAGAGTCTCCTAAGTATGCACGGTAAGCTATTTCACCAGCACACAAAATAAAAAAACTCGACGGTTTTCTAAAAAAGATCTTCTCATAAAAAGGTGAGAAGGCGACCAGCACACAAAATAAACGACAAAAAGGTAAGGTATCAGCAAGGCAGACTACTTAACAGAGCGCTTAATCTTCAAGCAAATCAACATCGATAATACCTTCAACCAAATTAATGTTCCCCACATTGTCATTGGCTCTGGCAGCTTCAGAATGATTGTTCTCTCCCACTTGACCACTTGCTAACAGGCTGCTTGAACCAGAGCTTTCTATGGATGCACCATAACCTAGTTCACCAGCACACAGGAAGGAGGATAAAATGGTAAATAAGTAGCACGGCAAATAAGTTAACAGGACGCCTAATCTTCAATTATTCATGCAGACCAATGCTCATGATACCTTCAAGGAAATCAATGCTCCCATGGTGTTATTGTCTCTGTCAGTTTCAGCACGATTATAATCTTATTTCTAAAAAATGCAGAAAAGGAAAAGGGGTTCCAAAATGGAATGGTTCAAGATCCACATGCACCTTTGAAGTTAAACTTTGCAAGCTGTCTCAGAGATGGTCGACAAGGACACTGGGTCACCAAGCCTTTGCATCATTATGCCACCATGGGATTTTGAAGGCAAACTTTGAGTATTTGTTAAGGATGTACAGTCTGCTTTCTGGTGTGAGACCTTCGTAGTTGGTCAGAGGTAGGCACTCTTTATATAAAAAAATTTAGAAAAAGACGAGGCTTCAAAATGTGTGTCACACGCCTGATTATGGGCTCCACACCGGGATCAGCGGGCCAAGCGAGGCCTAGCGGAGGGCCACGGCCAGCCTCGGCCAGTTCCACCGCGCCGCAAGGAGGGCGCGCGCCAGGAGGGGCGACATCGGCGCCCCCTCGGTCTCCACCCAGAAGGAATCCGGAATAATTGGTAGAATTAAGAATAAATAAGAAATTAAATTAGGATCTTGGATTCAGGAATAAGATTATATTTGTTAAGATAGGAGATTGGTTTGTTTAGGAAGGGGGAGTTCAATCTATAAGGACTTCTCCCCTATATGGACAGATGTAATCATTCTAATCTTAAGCAAGAATAGAGCTATGCTCCTTCCCCTATCTCCCTATCTCCTCGCCGCCACCCACCTCTGCCCTAGCCGCCACCCCTTACCCCGGGTTGAACTATGACACTTGGTATCCGGAGACCAGGCTGCATCCATGGGCGACAACCACAACGATGCCGCCATGAAGGCGCTAATCGACAGCCTCGTCGCTGACCTCAACAAACAATTTGAAGCCATGAAGGACCAGTTCACCAATCTGGACAACCGTCTGCAGAACGTGGAGCAAGGAGGCCACACCGATGAAGCTGCCACTGCCGCCCAAGCAAAGCGGGAGCATGAGGCCACCGCCAACACTTTGGAGGCGGATACCAAGCGCGCCATGGAAGCCACCGACAAAGCCTTCCTCAAGGAGCAGAAGGAGACAGCCGCGTCATCCACAATCCCCGAGCTCATGGATGAGGTGACCAACAAGCTGTTCGACGTCAACACCAATAAGGAGAAGGCGCCCAAGACGACGCTTCCACCACCGTACCCGTACCAGGGACACCACCAGGCTCCTTCCCTGTCTTACAACCACGCATCCACAAGCTGTTGTTCCCCACGTTCGACGGCAAGAACCCGTTGCCATGGCTTAATCGCTGTGAGCAATTCTTCAGAGGCCAAAAGACCCCAAAACCGAACAAGTGTGGTATGCCTCTTTTCATCTGACAGGTGGTGCACAGCAGTGGTACATGCGCCTCACGCAGGACAAGGTGGTGACGGATTGGGCATATTTTGCCCGATGCGCCAACGAGCGGTTCGACCCCCATACCCGCCGCAACCCACTGGAGGAACTGGCATCACTGCGGAAGACCGGTAGCGTCGACGACTACACGGAGCGCATCCTAGCGCACGTAGCCCACGCCGGGACCCTGGACGAGCAACAACAGGTGAACATCTACACCGCCGGGTTGCTCGAGCCGCTGAAGACGGGCGTCGAGCTTCAGAACCCCAAGGACATGGAGATGGCCATGTCCCTCACCCGAGCTTACGAACGGCGGGCTGTTGTGGTCGCCGACGCCAACAAGTCGACGGCACCAAGGCCGTCGAACCAGCCCTTGCCTCTAAAGGCGCCAACTCCTTCACCGTCCACACCAGCATCGACGACACCACCATCAGCTACTCCGCAACAACCATTCAAGCGCCTCACCGCCGATGAGATGGCAGAGCGCCGCCGCTCGAGACTGTGCTTCAACTGCGACGAGCCCTTCACCCGCGGCCACAAGTGCAAGCACCTCTTCGACATCACGGCCATCAACGACTCGACACCGACGACATCGACAACAGCCTCATCACGATGATCGGCGCCCCACAATCAGCCGTGTGCGGCTGGCGCACCATGTGCCTTGCGGGAGCGATTCTAGGCACCGGCGCCCACATACTCATCGACACAAGCGCAACTCACAACATCATCGACATCAACTTCGCTTGCCTCATTGGCCTCTTGGAGCAGCACATCAACAGCACCATCCTTGTTGGCAGCGGCACGAGGTCAAGTGTCGGGGGGCATGCTTCAACGTCCCGACTCCGTATCGAACACGGAGACATTCCAGATTGACGCCTTCCTCCTCGACATCGGCAACGACATCGACATCATCCTGGGTACACCATGGCTTGCTGACATTGGGCGCATCGCATGGGACCAACTCCATGGTGATGCAATTCTAGCGGGACGAGCGCACCATCTCCTTCACCATCGTCCCTCGACGACGCACACCGTAGAACGTCCTCGCGCTACCAGCTCTGATGGTGGACAATCAATCCGCCATCGCCCTCACCAAGAACCCTGTCCTACACGGCCGGAGCAAGCACATCGACGACAAGTTTTATTTCCTTTGGGATTGCGTCGATGGAGGACAAATCATCCTCGAGTTCGTCGAGACCGGCCGACAGCTCGTGGACATCCTCACCAAGCCACTTGGGCGCCTTCGGTTCTCAGAACTGAAGAACAAGATTGGCATGGTGGAGCTCAAAACCAAGGAGTAGAGGCAGCAGGATTAGGTGAAGATTTGTCAGATAATCTGCTGCACTCTCCCCTTACTTTTTAAGTGCACAGTGCACATCCAGTAGTAGCTGCTGCACACTGCTTTTTAAGTGCACAGTGCACATCCAGTAGTAGCAGCTGCACCCTGCTGCACACACTTACTTTTTAAGCGCACAGTAGCAGTAGCAGGTGCATTAAGTTGTGTGTGTATATATATATATCAGGTTGTTCAGTAAATGGAAAAAGTAGTTCAGTTCAGCCTCATTTTCAGAGCAGCAGAGCTGCTGTTCGTGGTGTGTGTGTGTGTGTGCTCATCTCCTTCTACCTTTAGCTGTGTGAGTGTGTGGGTGTGGAGGTGAGCTTGCTGCTCACCTGTACAGGGAGATCGAGGGCCAACATGCTTGGTGCCACAGAATGCTGAAGCTTCTTCTGTCCAGTGGCTTCAGCACATGGAAGCATGCACCCAGGTTCATATATTTGGAAAGTGTCTCTTCATCGTCACAAGAACACATTGCTGTCAACAAGGAGGAATAACCCTGGAATGGTGAGTTTGGGATAGGTGAGAAATTCTTAAAATAATAGAGCTCTGAATATAAACTCTTACCAGTAAGAGGGACTTGAAGATCATTCAGTATGTAATGGAGCAGATCAGAGTTTGCTAAAGTGCCTGGTGCCATATTGTTAAGATTAACCTCCACCAATACCAAATCATGCTCCGCTTCTTTAGCAGCCCCGCGTTCAACGATATCCAGGGCCGCTTGTTTGGAAGGGGAAAACTATGCAACGATAAAGGTAATAAGATTAAAAATTTGGAAAATTCATACCACAGTGTATTTAGCACTGTTCTACAATTAATGGACCATGCACTTGACAAATAGGCCCAACAAATAATTTTTAATTAGACTCCTAAGCAAAACTTCATGGTGGGAAATTCCAGCAAGGCAAAAGGAACCAATAAACAACTATAAACAAACAGGAGCTGCCCTCAGTGTTCCAAAAGTACACCCAAACTTACGATACACGACAAAATGGAATATTCAGATATTAGAACCTAAAGTGTCATATCATATACCTAAATTTATGATATGCAACAAATCGAATATACAGATAACCGTAGATCGGATCCCAAGCAAGCACTCACAAATAGGAAAAGACACCAAACATCCTTGAAACATAATATGCTACAGAAGCCCCTTGAATATCATATAGTAGGTGTAGATTGATTTTTAGGGCGGAGGATCTGAGTTCCTCTACTTCTTTGTCAAGAGAAGGAATCCTTTAAATAAAAAAAAGTGGTGTACCCAATTCAGAGAGCTCCCGCTCTGTGCGGGGTCTGGGGAAGGGTGTTAGTGGCAAGCCTTTAAATATTGCCAAAAATAGATCTAGGTCAACATGTTTCTCCCCCATCACCTTCAGGAATAATATAGACTGCAAATATGATACCACAGCTAACATATATAGGAATTCTTTTTTCAGGGAAAATAATAAGAGTTAGTTTGATATACAGGTTCCTCAGTTTTATAAAAGATTTCAGATTTCTTGAAATGAATATTGTGCCTATTGACTTCCTTTTTCTTCTAGAACACACTTCATTTTTTTCTAAAAAATGCAGAAAAAGAAAAGGGGTTCCAAAATGGAATGGTTCAAGATCCACATGCACCTTTGAAGTTAAACTTTGCAAGCGTCTCAGAGATGGTCGACAAGGACGCTGGGTCACCAAGCCTTTCCATCATTGTGCCACCATGGGATTTTGAAGGCAAACTTTGAGTATTTGTTAAGGATGTACAGTCTGCTTTCTGGTGTGAGACCTTCGTAGTTGGTCAGAGGTAGGCACTCTTTATATATAAAAAATTTAGAAAAAGACGAGGCTTCAAAATGTGTGTGTCACACGCCTGATTATGGGCTCGCACACCGGGATCAGCGGGCCAAGCGAGGCCTAGCGGAGGGCCACTGCCAGCCTCGGCCAGTTCCACCTCGCCGCAAGGAGGGCGCGCGCGCCAGGAGGGGCGACCTCGCCGCCCTCGGTCTCCTTCACCCAGAAGGAATCCGGAATAATTGGTAGAATTAAGAATAAATAGGAAATTAAATTAGGATCTTGGATTCTTCACCCGAAGGAATCCGAATAGGATTGGTAGAATTTAGAATAAATTCAAATTAAATTCCCATATCTTGGATTCAGGAATAAGATTAGATTTATATAGATAGAGATGTAATTGGTTTGTTTTAAGGGGAGTTCAATCTTTGGAATTGAATTCTTCCCATAATTATAATTTAGACAGATTAAGTCTATATAGGGACTATATATGTATAGATTGTAATCATTCTAATCTTAACAACAACAAAGGATCTTTAAGTCCCAAACAAGTTGAATTCATTCTAATAATTACAATTTAGACATAGATTAATTAAGCTATCTATATAGTTGTATATATTCCATCCTTTTGTATATTTATTGTTAGGCATACAAGGGACATACTTATATATTGCATTTCTATTGTAGGGAAGCAAGTTGAAGAGGGTGCTATAAGTTGGAGAGTAGAATTATAGCATAGTGATCTATAGAATCCATTTCCATCTCCCACCCTATGAATTTGAGATAGGTTTATTTGTGAGCTTGGGAAAGTTATGGAATGTCAAATTCCAAGCCAAATAGCCTAATCCATTAAGTAGATTTCAATTCCTCCAAAATGAAGGGATCCAAACATGACAGTGTGACAGTGTGAAATCGCTTTATTTCAATGGTAAGTTGACCTGTATTTGGACTGGTGCACAACAAAAGAGTTAGTAGAGAGATACAGGAGATATGGTGACTTAAGCAATACATGAGAACCCAAAGTCAAGACTATATTTTTCTATGCAAAAGCTTCTAACCATGTTGCTTTCAGGGTGTCACACTCTTTGAGGTATGAGGAATTAGTTTTAAAGAAAAACCTAGTATGAAACTGGGTAAAACATACTAACAGATGCATGCAAACCTCTACTGTTCTATTTCTTCTTTGTTTCGGATTTGTAGCGTCAAATTTGACATGCTAAGTATGGATGCAATTTCAGGAACCACTGAGTATCAAACTGTGATGGCAGTAATTGCCACAGCACCTAGTTTTGGAATGTCCGTGGGTAAAAGAACATGCAGAAAATGAGGGCAAAGGACAACAAAATCGCATTAAATGAAGCCCTAGCGGATTAGGTGCCATTAGTTAGTATCATAACATAATAATATTGCAGTCCCCTGGGACACGAATATATGTCATACTATATTTGTGGGCAGTCCAAAATGGCACAACATATTAATTGCAATCTACTTTCTCCCCCCCCAAACTGCCCTGTTTACATCTCTACGAAACCATGAGAGAAAGTAAAATGCCAGTCCTTGAGAGAGAAATATTTACTAGTCCTATAAAGATATACGCCCGAAACAACACAACCAATCTGCAATTCCCAGTTCCATTTGGATAAGAGTTTCACGATAACATATATGCTTAAACTAACTGGAAAGATTCTGTTCTATTTCGTGCATTTCAGCAAATCTTGCTACAGCTAATATTGTGGAACCAGTCCCCCTATGGTGTAATGCAATCTCCAAACATGTTCTCTGATTGTATATACCATATCATAGCAAATGGAAAGCCTGGATTGCCAAAAGAAGAAGAAGAACCCATGAAAGTAAAATATATCAATGCTATATGTACTCAGTATTCCACGACTAATTACCGACCGGCGTACGATCTGGAAACGCACATGGTAGAAAGTACCACAAAATCCGCTAATCTAATACTGCGGCGCCGCGTAATTACAAACTAAGGTGTTTATCCACCTGCAGACACTCCCTGCTTGGAATTGGAACTAAAAATCGAAGCAGGCCCGCGGCGCACAAACCGACAGACGGACGGGGCGGAGGCACCGCCCCCGCCGGAGGCGTGTCCGCGTCCACATCCGCGGCGGCGCGGGCTGCACGCGCTCTCAGCACGCCGTCCCCTCCTGTCAACAGGCGGACGGAGAGAACTCGGGATGGGCCGAAACCCGTTACTGCGTAAGATCGCGCCGTGGGCCGTGGGCCGTGGGCCATGGGAATCAAGGAAGGAAGGCCACGGGCGTGGGCCTGGACGGTGGGGCCCAGAGCACCGCCAGATGGGTCGGCGGCGCGCGTCACACGGGACGGTGGATGCACGTAGGCCCAGCCCCAGCCACAGCCTATAGATAGAACAGTGAAATATGTGAAAGAGTGGTTAGTTATAGCAATTAGGGAACGTAGTGAGATTCAGCATTCACATCAACACGGCACAGGAAAGAATCTCATAGGGTATTATAATACCCACTTTGATTAGAGGTGGCTGCACACGTGTAGTAGTGGTAGCTAGGGCCTGTTTGGATTTCCCCTCGAAATTTTAGAGCTCTAAACTTTAGAGCTGAAGTTCTAAAGAAGTGGTTTAAAGTTAGCTCTAAATTTTAGCCCACCTCACATTAGAGCTTTAGAGCTCAAAAGTGAGCTAAGGTGCTCTTATTAGAGCTCTAAAGTTTAGAGGAGGATCCAAACATCGCATGTCCCAGAAATTTAAAGTGAATCATACTAGTATATGTCTCTTGGACAAATATAGTTAACTCCAGGTTAAACTAGTGATGATGAAAAATGAAGCAAGGTGCTATGCATGTGTAGGCCTGTGCTTATTGTTAGTGGAGTGAGGGCAATGCTTCAAGCAAATGTTAGAACTGAGGTGCAACATACATATTGCAATATACATTCAACAAATTTGTTCTAAATAGGCCTCCTTATCATGCCAAGGTGATATACAGATGACTACTGATTGCCATGGATTAGTTTTTGAAAGTAACTTAGAGAAAGAAATAATTGCAATATTATTTCTTAGAGAAGAGATCCCAGCAATCTGTAGCGATTAATTCTGCATTCTTTTCCCATTGATGCAAACCTGCTCCATGTGTACAGTCCTTTGCCCAGGCTGTCCCCTCTCTCAGTCACAAAGAAAAAAGGGCTGTCCCCTCTCACAACTACGATCCAATTCCATCAGTAGAAACGAGAGAGCATGCATTCCGTTGATTGTTGCATAAGAGGTTAAGGGTGTACCTCTTCATTCCAGCTGGTTCGAAGCATCATCACGACCAAAGCAAATATCTGCACTGCCATAGCACATATGATTCCCAACCAAAGGCCCTGGCACATGAAGGAAACACATATCAATATATATCTTGTCATAATTACATAAAAGTAAAACATAGTCCAACCTACCATACCACCAATCTTCAGAATAAATGCAAAAGTAACAGCTGAAGGGAGACCAATAGCATAGTAAGCAAACAGGTTGATAACCGAGCATACTTTCTGCCAGACACATCCTCGAGCCGCGCCTTAAAAGCAACATGCAGATAATGAACATATGTCAGCCAGGAGTAGTTAGACAAAGGATTACTGATATTATGATTATGGAATGTCACGTTAAATTCACTGAGAAGTCTGATTCAGGAACTACCACTCTTGTACATAACACTTGTGCCGCTCTTCTTTGGTAAAGGAATAAATGATACCTAGAAAAAGAAAAACAACAATAATCCTAATTTGGACTGTATGGCTTACTGGTGAAACCCTCTTACTTGTAGCATGCAATACCAAACAAATTGGATCTTTTCTTTTTCTCTTATGACTTATGAGAGCACTGAGCATGTTGGATATGTGATCATTTTTTACATTAACCTGCTCAGGCGGCATAGCAAAGACAATTAATCTACATGAATTGACGGCATCATAATGAGGCAAGCAAACCAACACCAAGACCAACTGGCCAAGTGGTCAAACAAAATAAAAGCTAAGCAACTTTACAATAATGATATTCTGATTACAGTATCTGTATATGAATTTCCCAACAGGGAGCAGAAGTACGATGTGATACAAATGCTGCATACTAGACAATGCAATTATCCCAAACCTGATAGCGTGCATTGTATTCCATCCATGAAGTCAGAAGTAGCAAGAATTGGCATCATAATCGATACATGCTTCACTACCTCTTCTTAATTGCTGTACAAATAACCCCAGACATCTTGCACTAATACTGTGATGATAGATACAAAAAGGCCCTCAGCTAGGAAAAAATGATTCCTGAAACATAAACTGATAGGCGTGCTGCATGTGGATTCCCAGCACCTAGTTCATTGGACACTCTAATACTGCAAATAAACAAAGAACCATGGGCCAAAACTAGTTAACCACAAGTTTCTTTTACCACAGAACAAAAAGGAGTGGGCACTACGAATTTATGCTTCTCTGACCTTATTGCGCTGCTGTGGCCACTTGGAATTGTATAGACCATCCACATTGTGTTTAGGCTGCAAGAGTCAAAGTTACATTACATCAAGCACTGAAAGCATCATTACTGAACAACATCGGATCTAAAAGATTGATCAGTTTAATAGAATTTCCAATTACTGAAAGGGAGGAGATATTTCAAGTTTCATTTGCTTACCTGACTGACAAAATTGAAGTTTCCAGTGTTGGATCTGGAAGAAATCCCGCTAAGAGAACCACCATCTCAAATGCCCAATACTCCAAGCTGAGCTATCTTGCAAGTCAAATAACCAGTTCCATGCAGAAAGTAGGTAAAGGTACACATTGCTTCTTTGACAGATCATAAATTTAACATTGAAGACTTACTGAAATACATGTTTTTCACATGGTGCCCCACATCAGGCTTACCAGGTCATAAAGGTAGATGGAATTGCTAGCCTTAGATACACTTTGGCATTCTTTAACTTTAGTGCCTCCCTTGACCATCCATGCCAACTTCTTCTGCCAGCTTCAGAAACTTTCACATACACAGCTAGCAATGCCACATTGAACCAGTAAGATACTGAGGTTGCCAGAGCTGTGCCTGCGCCTTTGTGGCCAAGGCCAAAACTTAGAACCAGCAACCAGCATGGCATAACATTTAGTAGCAAAGTAAGTCCAGAGCAAGCTACCAATATCTGGGCAATATTTTGGGTCTGCAGGAATCTGGTAAGGCACTGGAGCAAACCATACACGAAAAGACCAGGAATCAACCACTGAGCATACAGTCCAGCTTCGAATGATATCTCAGGATTTTGACCGAGAGCGACCAGCGAAGCCCAAAACAAAGGCCAGAGGAACACCCGTAAGCATAAGAACAATTATAGCCCTTTACGTGTGTGTCCCCAGCATGTCATATTGTCTTGCTCCGTATGATTGTCCACAAAAGGTATCCAATGCGCTTCCCATACCCAGCTTGACATGGAAAAGAGGAGCACGAATTCCAATTATTAATTAATTTACTGGTAGCACAATAGGCATCACGCAGTATAGCACTGGCCACTGTGCAATAGGTCAAATTCATACGCCCCTTACTTGTTACTTCAAGTAAGTACAATTATGGAGCATGTGGAAAACTAATTGGAGTAATGCGAAAGTATTTACAGAATCCGTAATAATTTTGGTTACAAATTCCTTAAATAACTAGGTTCTACAGTGTACATGTTCCGATTCACATTTCCCCATGCTCTTCAGACTTCATGCACAGGCAGTAGCATATACCGAGTTGCACAAATGGTTTAGCGAAGCGAGGTTACTACCGCACTTACCAGGACGCTGAAGCCGGTGACGTTGGCGAAGGAGGCCGCGACGGAGGCCCCGGATAGGGAGAGCTCCCCTAGGTGTCCGGCGAACATGACGGAGACCACCCGCAGGCTGTACTGCAGCAGGCTGCACGCCACCAGCGGCGCCGCGAGCCCCACCTGCCGCCGCACCTCCGCACCCACCGCAGCGCGTGGAGCGGAGCGGGGCACGAGGAGAGGCGAGGACGCAGCCGCGCTCACCTCCGCCACTAGCGCCGCCATTTCGCGATGGCCCCGCGGGTTCGGAAGTCGGAACCGACGGGTTTGAGTTGACTTGTCTTGGGCTTCGGGCTGAAATGGTGGTGATGGGCTAAAATAGTAAAATCTGCCAAACTCTGTTTACAAATTTTTAATTTAAAAAAGTTTTTTATCTTTGCTTCAAAAAGAAAAATAGTTTGTTATATTGTTTTTATTTTACAGAATTACTCCTTTGCAATCGCATGAAATATTGCTTTTCCATCAGTCACTCGCCACGCGCCGTGCCCGCGCTAGAGACAAGATGAAGATGAAGAAGAAGGCGTTAGGTTCCGTAACACATCATCTTGGGCAATCGGGCTCATAGGGTCATCCATGAGAGCATCGCCAATAGCGGCTTCTTGAGCTATTGGTTCATCTAATAAGTTGACCATCCTCGCCGACCTAAGATCATCATCCCATGCATTGTTACCTGCTTGCATGACCTCTAGGGCAAGGCGTTTGATGATCTTGTGATCCTCCCGGCTTCTTTAGTCATTGGTTCATTTAATAAGTTGATAAGCCCCACAGATATCATAGCATCATCCCATGAAATGTCATCTACTTGCTGGAGGCAGGCCGGTCAGGCGGTGGGGACGGCAGGAGGGCGGCTTATGGTCCAAGCGGCAGCGAGGTGGGCCAAGGCCAAGTCAGGGCAAGGGCGTCCATGGTTGGAGCTCATCGTGGAAGGAGGAGGAGGAAGGAAAGAAGGCCGCCACCACGGGGCGCGCTATCTTCCTCCGCACTCCTCGTCCTTGCCCCTACCGCGGCGGTGGGGGCGAGGACGAGAAGGGGGCAGAGGAAGAAGAGGGACAAAAGAAAGTTGAATATGACTCCTGCGTTGTATGATTAGGATCCAACGGCTGCCATCGTCGCATGATGAAAATGCAAAACTGCAGTCACCTGCAGTGGAGACACACCCTTTATTTTATCATAAACCCTATGTATATGTATAGGAAATTTCAGGGAGAGTAATGTGCCATTCATGCTGTGTAGTTTGTACCTACCAAACTTATACCAACTACTAAGTCAACGCCTCAACGAGGCTTGCATGTCTACTGTGTTATTACTGCTACAAAGAGTTGCAAGCAAAAATATGATATCCGATCTCCCACTATTCCATTTTAATTATGCCATGCGTATCTGCATATGCGCCATACAAATAATTTGGATTAATTAATGATCTCTTCATATCACAAAGATTTTCAAGGAAGAAATCATCCGGTGAGGTTCTCCACATTAATTCGAGGCTTGGGTGTAAAATAAGTTAGAAATGGTATCACAAAAAAGGTTAAAAGCGATGTGAAAATCTATCAGGGTTTTGCGTTTAAAAAAAAGGAAGAAAATCGATCAGGATGTGAAAAGGCAGTAACTAGCACTCGATCACATAGGGAGAAGGCATCCAGCGATGTTCCATGGTAATGGCTGTAGCCTGTAGCATACAAACTGCCCATCGAATCATGGAGTTCACGGCATAGACATACCAGTTTTTCTCCAACCTGGGCAGGTTCAACATGACACAGTAATCATATGAAACCAAACAGTAGAGTATATAACGATTAATAACTTCTACACGGTCTTATGTGCTCTCGAGCACAACTGAGTTACTTATTTCTGTCAATGGGTTCTTATTTCTAACATCCATATTATCTGTCACTATCACTTGTTCAGCCTGATTCAGAAGAGCATGCCATAGTCAACCGCTGGCATTGCAGGACTCCAAGCCCATAACACATCGTCTTGGGCAATCGGGCTCACAGGGTCATCCATCAGAGCATCGCCAATAGCGGCTTCTTGAGATATTGGTTCATCTAATAAGTTGACCATCCCCGCCGACCTAAGATCATCATCCCATGCATTGTTACCTGCTTGCAGGACCTCTGGGGCAAGGCTTTGCTGATCTTGTGATCCTCCAACGGCGGCTTCTTCAGTCATTGGTTCATCTAATAAGTTGATAAGCCCCACAGATATCAGAGCATCATCCCATGGAATGTCATCTACTTGCTGGAGATCCTCCATGCCAAGGCTTTGCTGCTCTTGCGATCCTTGAGTTACTGGTTCATCTATGTTAATCAGACCAACCGATCTCAGAGCATCATTACATGCGTTGTCACGGAGGTCCTCTAGGCCAAGGCTTTCCAGCTGACTCATCCGAAATGAATCTGCTTCCTCCCAGCCATCAGAAGGGCCTGTCAGGTCCAGATCATTGCTGTCTAGGTGCGCCCAAGCAACAGAAAAATCCATTGATGCATTGTACTCCGGGTCCACATTACCTTCAACAACAAGAAAGAATTTTAGTCCCAAGCAAGTTATTGCAGGCTAGGAATGAAACGTCACGAGAGTCAATAAATAAAAGATAGAAAAGTATTAGCAAGGAAAACTAGTTAGCAGGACACTTAGTCTTCAAGCAGATCAGTGTTCATTGTACCTTCAAGGAAATTATTGTTCCCCATGGCGTCATTGTTTCTGGCAGCTTCAGTAAGATTGTTTTGTCCGACTTGATCACTTGTTAACAGGCTGCTTGAACCGGCGTTTTCTATGGATGCACCATAAACTGTCTCACCAGCACAAAATTAGATGATAATAAGGTAAGGTATTAGCAAAGAAAACTAGTTAACAGGATGCTTAATCTTCAATCAGATCAATGTCCACGATACCTTTGAGCAAATTAATGTTCTCCCTGTGGTCATTGTCTCTGGCAAATTCAGTACGATTGTTCTCTCCCACCTGATTACTCGTTAACATGTTGCTTGAACCAGAGATTTCTGTGAATGCACCATAACCTATTTCACCAACACACAGAAAAGGAGGATAAATAGGTAAATAAGTTCTTTCTAAAGAGAAGCCAGCAGATTAAACTGCAGTTCTATATATTAATAAAGAAGTAGTAGAAAAGGTAAATAAGGTATTAGCACCACCAGCAGTTTCAGGGGCTTCATTTGAATCCCCTGCATCTGTGATAACAATATTGTTCTTCACAGGCCACCGATGTTCGCACATGAACTGCCAACGTTTCTTTTTCTCAGAGAACACTCTATGCAGGTTATTTTCATACTTATCCCACATACACACAGACTGTGTGTCCTCAGTGTTCAGAGCCACTGTGTCCGCTGACCTTTTCTTCACCTCTGTCCACAGCCTTAAGGGGTACACTTCCACATCTGTCTCAACTATAGGTGTGATGGATTCAGAAGTGCCTTCATCATGTCCCATTGGTTTTCTGCTGGCATTCTCTTGGCGCTGTCCTCCTTGCTTTGCATTCCGGTGGCGCAATCGATGTTTCTATATTACATTTGAGGAGAAAATTGTCAAGCAAGGGACAAAGTTAGGTCACAGTATTAAAGGTCAAACTAATGATCAATTAATCACCCACCTGGAGATGGCTGCCAATATGCTTCGCAGTCAAACCTTTTATATTCATCAGGTGGAGGATCCCCTCAGGTGTAGCATCTGTTAGCCACCCAAAAAAAATAAACAGGCCACTAATAAAATAACAAATAACTAATTTAGATTTCAAGCCATGTGTACGTATGAGCTATACTTACACTCATTCCCCCCAAGAGCTTTGACAGCCTCCAAGAACTTTTCATGGAGCTCAATGGTCCATGTGATCCGATTCCGCTTCTTTGGCTCTTCATATCCATTGCTTTCAGGATCGGATAAATCATTTCTCTCTGGGATAAGCACTTCCTTTGGCTTTTCAGTAGATGATGAAACCATTCCATTTCTGGTACTATTAAGAGTTGGTCCTTGAGGTGCTGCCTTTTTAGACTTGTGTTCCAGTGCTTGGTGCCACAGAATGCTGAAGCTTCTTCTGTCCAGAGGCTTCAGCACATGGAAGCATGCACCCAGGTTCATACATTTGGAAAGTGCCTCTTCATCGTCACAAGAACACATTGCTGTCAACAAGAAGGAATAACCCTGGAACTGTGAGTTTGGGATAGGTGAGAAATTCTTAAAATAATAGAGCTCTGAATATAAACTCTTACCGGTAAGAGGGACTTCAAGTTCATTCAGTATGTAATAATGGAGCAGATCAGAGTTTGCGGAAGTGCCTGGTGCCATATTGTTAAGATTAACATCCACCAATACCAAATCAAGCTCCGCTTCTTTAGCAGCCCCGCCTTCACTGAAATCCAGGGCTGCTTCTGCTGTTTGGAAGGGGAAAACTATGAAACGATAAAGGTAGTAAGATTAAAAATTTGGAAAATTCATACCACAGTGTATTTAGCACTGTTCTACAATTAATGGACCCTGCACTTGACAAATAGGCCCAACAAATAATTTTTAATTAGACTCGTAAGCAAAACTTCATGGTGGGAAATTCCAGCGAGGCAGAAGGAACCAATAAACAACTATAACAAACAGGAGCTCCTCTCAGTGTTCCAAATGATGGATCTATTCCAGCATGCTTTTTTAATGTTCTTTGTTGGGAGCCTATCGAAATTAGTAGAAGTCCAATTAAAAAATGTATTCACACCTCCACATTTGAGTCCACATAATCCTCTACCGTACACCCAATCCTAAGCTACACGACAAAATGAAATATTCCGAAATTGGAATCTAAAGCGTGATACCGTACACCAAAACATATGATACGTGACAAAATGATACATTCAGTAATTGAATTTAAAGCGTCATACTATACAATCAAGCATATGATACACGACAAAATGGAATATTCAGAGATTGGAATCTAAAGCAGCATACCATAAACTCAAACTTATGCTATACGACAAAATGGAATACTCAGAAATTGGAATCCAAAGCGTCATACTGTATGCCCAAACTTATGATAACGACAAAATGGAATCCTCTGAAATTGGAATCCAATGCATCCTACTGTACGTCCGAACTTCCTATATACGACAGAATGGAATATTCAGAAATCAGAATCTAAAGTGTCACATAGTACACCCAAACTTACGATACACAACAAAATGGAATATTCAGAGATTGGAACCTAAAGCATCATATCATATACCTAAATTTATGATATGCAACAAATGGAATATTCTGATAACCGTAGATCGGAATCCAAGCATGCACTCACAAATAGGAAAAGACACCAAACATCCTTGTAACATAATATGCTACAGAAGCCCCTTGAATATCATATAGTAGGTGTAGATTGATTTTTAGGGCGGAGGATCTGAGTTCCTCTACTTTGTCAAGAGAAGGAATCCTTTAAATATCGCCAAAAATAGATCCAGATCAACATGTTTCTCCCCCATCACCTTCAGGAATCATACAGACTGCAAATATGATACCACAGCTGACATATATAGGAATTCTTTTTTCAGGGAAAATAATAAGAGTTAGTTCGATATACAGGTTCCTCAGTTTTATAGAAGATTTATTTCTTGAAATGAATACTGTGCCTATTGACTTCCCTTTTCCCTCTAGAACACACTTCATTTTTTTAGAACAAAAATGCAGAAAAGGAAAAGGGGTTCCAAAATGGAATGCTTCAAGAATCAAGATCCACATGCACCTTTGAAGTTAAACTTTGCGAGCGTCTCAGAGATGGTCGACAAGGATGCTGGGTCACTATCCAGAACCAGCGCTGAAAGCCTTTCCATCATTCTGTCACCAAAGGGATTTTGAAGGCAACTTTGAGCTTTCTGGTGTGAGAGTGAGACCTTCGTAGTGGGTCAGAGGTAGGCACTCTTTATATAATAATAAAATTAGAAAAAGACGAAGCTTCAAAATCTGTGAAATCGCTTTATTTCAATGGTAAGTTGACCTGTATTTGGACTGGTGCACAACAAAAGTTAGTAGATAGATACAACAGATATGGTGACTTAAGCAATACATGAGAACCCAAAGTCAAGACTATATATTTTTCTATCCAAAAGCCTGTAACCATGTTGCTTTCAGGGCATCACACTCTTTGAGGTAATGAGGTATTAGTTTTCAAGAAAAACCTAGTATGAAACTGGGTAAAACATACTAACAGATACATGCAAACCTCTACTATTTTATTTCTTCCTCTTTGTTTCCAATTTGTAGCGTCAAATTTGACATGGTAAATATGGATGCAATTTCAGGAACCACTGACCACTGAGTATCAAACTGTGATGGCAGTAATTGCCACAGCACCTGGTTTTGGAATGTCCTTGGGCATCTGTTGACAAAAGGACATGCAGAAAATGAAGGCAAAGGACAATAAAATCACATTAAATGAAGCCTCGGCGGATTCGGTGCCATTAGTTAGTATCATAATAATAATATAGTAGTCCCCTGGGACACAAATATATGGCATACCATATCTGTGGGCAGTCCAAAATGGCACACCATATTAATTTCAATCTTCTTTTTCCTCCCAAACCGCCCTGTTTACGTCTCTACGAAACCATGAGAGAAAGTAAAATGCCAGTCGTTGAGAGAGAAATATTTACTAGTCCTAGAAAGATATACGCCCGAAACACCACAACCAATCTGCAATTCCCAGTTCCATTCAGATAAGAGTTCCGCGATGACATTTCCGCGATGACATTATATAAAAACTAACTCTGAAAAGATTCTGTTCTATTTCGTGCATTTCAGCAAATCTTGCCACAGTAATATTTTGCAGCCGGTCCCCTATGGTTTACTAATGCAATATCCAAGCCTGTTCTCTGATTGCATATATCATACCATAACATACTAGGACCAAACCTGCATTCATCAATCCTAGTAACAGGCAAGCCTGGGGAGCCAAAACAAGAAGAAGAAACCATGAAAGTAAAATATCCCAATGCTATATGTACTAAGTATTTCCACGACTAATTACCGACCGGCGTACGAAACTGGAAACGCACACGGTAGAAAGTACCACAAAAACCGCTATGCTAATACTGCGGCGCCACTTAATTACAAACTAAGGGTTTGTCCACCGCAGACACTCACTGGTTGGAATGGAACTCAAAACAAAAAACGAGCAGGCCGGCGGCGCACAAACCGACAGACGGACGGCGGCGGCCCCGGTGACGCGACCCTGAGACCGCGAGGCCTGCCTACGGCGGGGGCGGAGGCACCGCAGGAGGCGTGTCCGCATCCACGGCGGCGCGGGCTGCGCCGTCTCTCGCCACGGCGCCCCCGCCATCCGTCGACAGGCGCGAACGGAGAGAGCTCGGGATGGGCCAACAAGACCCGTTGGATCGCGCCGTGGGCCGTGGGAAGGAAGCAGGAAGGCCAGGGGAGCGGGCTTAGGTGGTGGGGCCCAGAGTAGCGTTCGCTGGTCTTTTGACCCGTACTTTTTCAGCGATCATAGCAAATTAACCAATTTTTAACCATGTTTTTCTCTCAATAACTTTTAGCATGACTTAGGGCCCGTTCGGTTAGGCATTCCCGACCTAAAACGGCCAGAAACATTTCCAGCCCAGTACATGGAATAGTTCCAGGCCTGGAACGGTTCCAGGCCATTTCGGGTTAGAAACGAACGGGCCCTTACCTGACAAGCGAACAGGTGGACGACGCGTGGACCTAGCCCCAGCCACAGGCCCACCACAGCCCTCGTCGGGTGACCGGCGGCGTGGTCGATCGGGCCTGCGTCGCCACACCATGATGACACCACACGCCACTCGCCCGCCAGGAGATGGAGATGCGGCGGTGGACGTTACGTGGGGGGTGGAGGGGACACGCACACGCCTCCGGCTTTTCAGTTTCAGACGATTATTTGCAATTGCATGCGGCTGCTGGCCTGCTGCTGATGGACCTTATTTTTTATAATTTGGTCTTTTTTTAATAAAATTTACGTTTGGTTTTCTGAGAGACTTAAACTTATCTTTGACTCTGGGGTCGGCGTTAGGACTCATGGCGTCGAGGTAACATGTCTCGGCGTCACAGATCTTGACGCCGAGATGTCTGGCCGAGCACAGTAGAGCATCATAAGTGACGTTGACGTGATCGGTACCTCAACACCAGAATACATGACGCCGAACTCGATGCCAAAGATCTTGACGCCGAACATGGTTAAGCGCGTGTGACCGCCGCAGCTCTCTCCGGCGCTCTATCTCTCCCTCTCTCACGCTATGTGACGTGAAAGCTCATGTATATTAATACTCCTCTTTTCACTGCAAAGCGACGCCATCTGCGTTGCGCACGGCTTTGCTGTCCACTGCCCGTGACCGGTAAACAAATAATAAAGAAAAAGCCATCTTTCACTGCCCAGCGCTTTTCAATGCAAACCAGACTGACTGCTGCACCGTGCCGCTGGACGCTCGTTGATCTTTTTTTCCCTTCTCGGCTCTTGTGAGTTGCCTCTGTGGAGCTGTTCGTTCCTGTTTCTGTTCCTGTTCCTGTGCCTCGGGTCGGCGCTGTTGAGGCACCAACTGAGGCCTGGTTTAGTTTTTAAAAAATTTTATCATAAACTATCGTATCGAATCTTACGGCAAATGCATAGAGATTAAATATAGACGAAAAAAAATAATTGCACAGTTTAGTTGGAAATCACGAGACGAATGTTTTAAGACTAATTAGTCCATGATTAACCATAAGTGCTACAGTAACTGACATGCGTTAATGATGGATTAATTATGTTTAATAAATTCGTGTCGCAGTTTCCAGACAAGCTATGTAATTAGTTTTTTTTTATTAGTATTAAAAACTTCTTTCGACGTCTCAAAATATCCGATGTCACGTAAAAATTCTTCGTTTCACGACCTAAACGCAACAGAGCCAGCGACCCACTGCACAGGTGCAGAGAGCATAGCAACCGGCTTTCTTTCGCCCGAGGCCAGAGCAGTCTGAACCTGGGCCATGTTTAGTTCCTCCGATTTTCTGAATTTGGCACTATATAAAAAGAAAATTTTTTATCACATCAAATTTGTGGTACATGTATGGAGTACTAAATGTTGACGAAATCAAAAACTAATTGTACAGTTTGGTTGTATTTTACGAGACAAATGTTTTAAGCCTAATTAGTTAATGATTAGACAATTATTACCGAATACTACAATGCACTACAGTATCTCTGGTTTCAGGCGGCGCCAACTTCGGTCGGAACTAAACGCGCCCCTGGCGTGAAGCTAGCCACTGAACCCGTCTCTCTCTCTCTGTCCAGTCTGCACTGTGGAGATACTAGTGACGCATCAGCGCCATGTGTAGCACGTACTAGGCGCACGCCTCCTCTGCACCTGCACGCCGGCCATCAATGCGTTGCCAACGTTTTCTTAAAAACTCGCCGAACTCATGATTGCCCGTCTTGTTGCCTTCCCGCTCGACGCTCGTCGTCTTGCCCCGTCATGTCCTTGGCTTGAGGGCTGCCGGTGCCGGGCTCAGATGTCAGGAGCAAGAGCAAAGATCATACTCTAGCATACTGTAGATCATGCGAGATTCCCAGCATCTCTGTGCATGCGTAAAAGGAAACAAAGGAGAATTCTGGAAAAAAAAGGAGAGTGCATATAAAAGCACGCTGCTTTTGTCCATCGCAGCGGTTAAACAAAACCATTGCCTGGGTCCGGCCGGTACAAAAGCTCCTTTTTTTTCGCACGAAGGCCATTTCTCTTCTCTCTTCTTTCCTCTCTTCATCGGGTGCAGCGGTCAGTGTTTGGTTTGTATTGAAAGGCGCCGGTAACAGTGGAAGATGGCTTTCTCTCTATTATTTGTTTACTGGTCACGGGCAGTGGGCAGCAGAGTCGTGCGCGACGCGGACGACATCGCTTTGCAATGACCAGAGGAGTATTAATATACATGAGCTTTCACGTCACATAGCGTGAGAGAGGGAGAGATAGAGCGCCGGAGAGAGCTGCGGCGGCCACACACGGTTATCCATGCTCGGCGCTAAGATCTATGGCACCGAGCCTCGGCGCATGTATATTCTGGCGTTGAGGTACCGGTCATGTCAACACCACCTAAGATGTCCTACTGTGCTCGACCAGACACCTCGGTGCCAAGATCTGTGGCGCCGAGACGTGTTACCTCGGCGCCATAAGTCCTGACGTCGACCACCAGGGTTAAAGATGAGTTTAAGTCTCTCAGAGACCAAACTTAAATTTTATTCAAAAAGGGTTAAATTGTAAAAAATAATGGCCGATGGATGAGGGCTGCAATACATGTAAAATGAATACTCTTCTATTCTCGAATAAATAAATCAATTCGGGTAGAATCATCTTAAGTCAAACTATTTATATTTAATTAATTTAAAATTAAAATGAAAGCGACATCCATAACATTAAATTAATACATTATAATAACAACAACAAAGCATGTAAGTCCCAAGCAAATTTAGGTAGGCTATTAAATTAATACATTATATTATATAAATATATTTTATAATATCTCTAATGATAAGTGCTAATTTAATGTAATAAATATTAGAGATCTTTTCTATAGATTTGATCAAGCTTGATATAATCTGATTTAACACCATTCTAAAAGTTAATTTAATTCAGTGAGCACCTACTAAGAAATTGTTTACCATCACTGATTAGATAAGAATTTTGGGTTGCATAAGGTTCTTTCTTATTTCTAAGTTGCACGGTACAAATGCAAACGTAAATGCCCACAAACACCTACGCATGCTTACCTTGCCTCGATTGCGCACACGCAAAAACCTTATTCTTGTAATCAGCTTTGAGAGACTAAGCGACCAGATCAGGATCACCACAAGCGTCTCGATTCTAATAGACACCTCGTCTACCATTAAAATAGTTACTTTATTAAATCATAGCATAAATTTAAGAAAATGCAAGTACATCATGCTACCGATGCCGAGTCCAAAACCTAGGTAGCTAAGATCTACAAACTGCTATCTAATCAGTAGAACTATGCCCAGCGATTCACAGATGTGGTTTTATTTTCGTTGGTTGTGATGTGATTTGTTTTAGTCACCCGAGGGAGTGGTTGGATTTCAGGACACCATAGTCTTTTTAGTTTAGTCTGATGAAAGGTCGTCTCAGTAGTCACGTTATCAGTTTTTCATGAAGTTGAGTCGTTGGTCAGCTAATATTAGTTTGTTATTTTATTATACTATACTCTTTGAAACATATGTTTGTTTTTTTTCTCTCTTTTTAGATTATTTCTCAGTTCATTCAGAAACAGTATAAACATACATGCCTCGTGATTCTTGAATCTTGATGCACATGTTGGTGAACGTTGATGATGACCTTAGGCTCCGTTCGCTTCGCTGAAAAAATAAGTCAAAAACATTGTTCCGACTGATTTGTTGTGAGAGAAAAGTACTGTTCCGGTTAAAAAAACAAGCTGAAAAAGACGGACTATAAGAGAAACGAACAAGACCTTAGGGTTAAACTATAGGAGCTACCTACCTAGCTAGCTATCACGTAGAGTCCATACTCTTCGTAGTACGCCATACTTGACCTTTGACGTACTGCAGATGTGCAACCTTGAAACATGTCACGTAAGGCAAAAGCACTGATGCATCAATTCATCTGGCCCTGTGTACCGCATAGCACTTAGCACGTCGTTCCACAAATGTCTTTAAATTTAAATTTGCTACCGTCAGGAAGAAAGAACGTACCCACAGAGTCCATCTCGGTCAGCTAATAACCTTTACATAATCCTTTTAAAAGAAGCCTTACATAGCAGTAAAATATACTAGTATCTCTGAAAGACGACGTTTCAGAGAGTAATTTTGATTTGCATTCGGCTCTCTTTTTTTGGCAGGGACATCGCTTTTTGGCTTTTTGCTGATATGACCTTTTTTTCTTCTCCCAAAAGCAGTGTTCTATTCTATTTAACCTTACACTGTACGAAAGGTGTAGAGAAATCACAAATAGCGAAGCACAACAATACTCTACTGTGTTTATATATCCATTGTCCATTCGTACCTTCAGCAACTCTAACCAAGCTCTCAATTTTTGCACCCCACATTCCTTTAGATAAAAGTCATTCATCCATATTTCATTTCCTATTTTTCACAGCACTCATACCGATCTCCTAAATTTACACTGTATTGTCATGGGTCATTGGTCCCACTTGTCAGTTTTATGGGAAGAGAAAAAATAAGGAATGGGAGAAAGAATGAGGGGCTCCTACATTTGGGGGTTTATGAGAGAGAAATGAGAGTGCCTCATCTATCATGAGGCTGAAATAGGGCTCGGTGGAGAGCTTTTTCATGTGTTTGAGCGTTGAGAATGAGATGTGGGCTCATGTAGGGGCTTGGTTAGAGTTGCTCTAAGATTTAGGGGCTGTTTGGCATAACTTCTTGCAGCTCCGGCCCTGCCACCGTAGAACGCCATAGTGACGTTGTAGCAAGGCTTCGGTGGAGCTACAAATCATGTCTCTGCCGGCATCTTCTCTTTCGAGTTCATTTTTTGTCTCGGGAAATGAAGCGACTTCTTGCTACATTAGCCCTACTGTGAATAGGAGGAGCGGAAACCTTTCAGAGCCACACCAAACAACGTCTTCGAGAGCCATACCAAACAACGCCTTAGGAACTGGGTTTCTCAGGCTCCTCTTATCCTGTATTTTTGCTAGAACCAAAGCCGCTACAGTTGAACAACACAACGAGGCAACAGTGTTTCTCCCTACACCGTATACGGAGTACATGCTTTTTTTTAGAATTATATACGGAGTACACGCTTGACGTGCAACCATGAAACACTGTCATGCACGCCGCGCAAGCCTAATCATGCTGCCTGCTTCCTTGTCTGACTACTAATACTAATAATAACGCCGTTCCGATCCCGGCCGTCGCCTGGCATTTGACTGCCATGTCAGATCCATCACCCATCTGGAACCAGATATACAGTCAATCAGTCATGCGGTGCTAATCACGGTGGCCGTTGACCGAGCCGGGTGATTAGCACAGCAGCAGCTTCGTCTCTCGCTGTCGCGCACGCACGCTCCCAAAGCCGATGACTCCCGCGCGGTCATGATGCTCCGGTACGGTTTCTTCGTTCGTTGCCCATTTCTCCGATAGGCACCCTTCGCTTCTCGAGCAGACGACTGGATCCACCGCCATCCACCGCTCCCATAGAAATTGAAGCCTCACCCTTTGCATGCAACGCAATTTTTTTTTTATGGTTCATGCAATGCAGTTTTCAGGAACTGACAGTTCAGGTCAAAGACCTCGACTGCGCAAGTGGTTGAGAGCGAATGTTCTCTGCACATGCTCCATTCCGAGTCATTCATCCGTGCAAGTGGAAAGATCCCATGACGACGCGGTTGCCGGTTGTAGGCAGCACCGCAGCAGGTGTAGCCTGCAGGGCCCAACGTGAGCACATGCACAGCTGGAGCACGCGATGCTAGCTTGCCTCTTGCGAGCAATGCGTGCCCAGCCCAGCCCATGTACCTGCAGAAGATCTGGTCTAGCATCGGGCTAGCAGCCGAGTGGTGCAGGTGTATTGCCACTGCTAGGATTTTTTTTCTTTTTCTAGCAGCTACTATATTTCGGTAATGGCAATTCGGCACAGCCTTTTCCAGCTCCAGATTTGCACTCCACTAGCTCCATCATCAGTCTGAACACTCATTCATTCAGCGCATTATCAGACGATAGAAAAAGGGAAGGAAAAGGAGAGAAAAAGAAATCGCCCATCCAATCCTAATAACTGGTATAAAGATCCCGTTCCTTCCCATCACGCCCATCGTTTTCCGCTCTCCATTCCGTTCTGCTTCCGTCAATCCACTCCCCGGTCCCCACGGCGCCGACGACTCGGGCTCCCGGCTCGGGGATCCCCCCTTGGACTTGGACGGGAACAGCACGTCGGGGAAGGGAAGCAAGCGTCCGCGAGTAGGAACAGTAACTGACGGCAGCAAGAGAGTAGAGGAGGGACGGGACACGGGAGGAGAGGAGAAGCTTGCTTGGAGCCGGTGGGCTGCTGGTGGTATATTGGTATATAGCTAGGCGGGTGAGCGGGCGGGCAGCCAATGCCGTCGGGCGCGCAGGGCTAGGAGCATGGGCGGGGGGAGCGCGATCGTCCACGGCTTCCGCCGCTGGTTCCACCGTCGGAACGGCTCCACCTCCGGCTCCAACCAGTCGTCCGTCGCCGGCGAGGGGGACGACGGCTCGTCCGATCTCGAGGTCATCGAGGACCCGGATCTCGTCGGCCTCCGCGCCATCCGCGTGTCCAAGCGCAAGATGCCGCTGCCCGTCGAGAGCCACAGGAAGGTGAGCGACTGAGTGGACCCGCCTCCGTTGCCTTGCCTTGCCTGCTTCTGTGCGTGGGGCTGGGTGGGGGCCGCCGGACGTCTCTCTGCCTTCCTCCTCGTGCTCCTTGATCCGCGGACACGGGAAATTTCTTGCCAAGATCGGATTTTTATGGGGTTTGGTTGCTCCCGTGCTGTGCAATTTCTTGCCGTGTAGGAGTGAGCGCCTCGTTTCCTTCCGCTTATTATGCATTGGGGAGCTGTGCGGGTAATGCTTTTGTATCTTCGATCTGATCCGTGCTTATCATTTTGATCGGGGCTGCTTTTGTTCCGATTTCTCAACTTATATGAAATGTTCAATTCAAGCACTTGTGTGAATTCTTTTGGTCCCTATAGATATGCTCCTACTGTAGTTGTAGTACGGTGCTCTCGTCTTGCGTCGTCAAACTTCAGTTAGCTATATATATCTCGGCAATTGCTGGCATCGTCCCGCGTTATACTGATCCTGAGGAACTCTTTTCCAAGTTGCCCACTTGTGTTTTTGATGATCTGACCAGCCGACCAGGGCACCGGGCTTCTAATAAGGTAGACTTGATCTGCACCTCTAACTCCAGTTTCCCTTTGCCTGTTGCTGTTGAGTGTTGAGGACTCCACTGGCTCAATGAGAAATGGTCTTTCCCTTGCATGCGTTCCTACTGAATTTACCTGACCGCTTCTTCAGTGAAAAGGTCAATTTTTAGTTCGTTGGTCATGGCCCAGGTAAAAGATCCCAGCTTTATAAACTTGTAGATGCATGTTATGCGGCCATGTCATTTGCTTTGCTTACCAATAGCTTTCAACGATACACTACTGTTCAGTTTAACCATAGGTTGTTTCGCTCCAGGTATTTTGTAACCAGTCATTCTTTGGATGCCCAATACTCTGTATATCTCTGGTTAACTCCAATCTGTACTTGAATTTGTGATCTTACAGAACTCAGTGGAAATGGAGTTCTTCACAGAGTACGGAGAGGCAAGCCAGTACCAGATCCAAGAAGTCATTGGTAAAGGGAGCTATGGAGTAGTTGCTGCAGCGGTAGATACCCGCACCGGTGAGCGGGTTGCTATCAAGAAGATCAATGATGTGTTTGAGCACGTCTCGGATGCCACACGCATACTGCGGGAGATCAAGCTCCTTCGGTTGCTTCGTCACCCAGACATAGTTGAGATTAAGCACATCATGCTCCCTCCTTCTCGGAGGGAGTTCCAGGACATCTATGTTGTTTTTGAGCTCATGGAGTCAGATCTCCATCAAGTGATCAAGGCGAATGATGACCTCACCCCTGAACATCACCAGTTTTTCCTGTACCAACTTCTTCGTGCTCTCAAGTACATACACGCTGGTAAGTATATTAGTTAGTGCCAACCACACTGTACCTATCCCATCTACCAAGACAGTTTTTATATTTTTCAAACTATCGTGGGCTCATCTGCTCATGGTTATCCAGTTTATTGTTTTTTTAGGAAAATTTTCCAGTTTATTGTTATGATAATGTGCTCTTTATGGTCTATATTGGTGCAGCTAATGTATTTCATCGTGACCTAAAGCCCAAGAATATACTGGCTAACTCGGACTGCAAACTGAAAATATGTGACTTTGGACTTGCCCGTGCATCATTTAATGATGCCCCTTCAGCTATATTTTGGACAGTAAGACTCTTGATGTTTTATCGAAGCATTCATGTTCCACTTTCCTATTTTTAATGTGCTTCTGCTTTTCTATTTGAAGGATTATGTGGCAACAAGGTGGTACCGGGCACCTGAACTATGTGGTTCCTTTTTCTCCAAAGTAATGTCTTGAGCTCTTGAATGCAATCAAAGTTAATATTGTTAGAGCACTATGTATGCTGTGTATGCCTGTGCATCTTGAAGTTTCCAATGCATGAAGTGGTCAATTGTGTAGTGCATCAGATTTCCCTTTTAGTGAATATTCTTGTAGTATACTCCAATTATGTATTCTTTATATTCTTGTAGTAAACTGTGGTGAAGACTGAGGTGTAAAGTTTGTTTAGACAAGATTATGTTGCAAAATCCTTATGTTACAGCTATCCGAATTCTGACACGTTTTAATTTATATGCAGTACACTCCTGCAATTGATATTTGGAGCATTGGGTGCATATTTGCTGAACTTCTCACTGGAAGGCCATTATTTCCTGGGAAGAATGTTGTACACCAATTAGATCTTATAACAGATCTTCTTGGAACTCCATCATCTGAGACCTTATCTCGGGTACTACATCTCAATTCTTTGTGTCATTTTTGCCCAAACCTCCTATTATATCATTAAAGTAGCTAATGTGTTGTCTAACAAGACTAAGGGCCTGTTTGGATACAAGAGCTAATTACTAGCTAGCTAAAAATTAGCTCTAGTGCATCCAAACAAAAGAGCAAAAGAGCTAATAGATGGGCTAATTTTTTAGCCAAGTCTTCAACTAGTTGTTAGCCAACTAGCTATCCAACCATAGCTAATTTGAGTTATTTTTTTAGCCCCAACTAGTGACTAGCCATGTGTATCAAAACAGACCCTAAACAAAGGATCTATGCGAATATAATATTAAAGCACCATTTTATCAACAAAGTCCATTGCAAGCCACTGAAATATTTCCTTCAGGCTCCATTTCTTTGTTTATTTTGTGATGTCTGCTCCTTCTAGAGATTTCACATGCGGAAAAAACATCCATAATGTTGTCTACGATCTTTGCAGATTCGAAATGAGAAGGCCAGGAGATACTTGAGCTGCATGCGGAAAAAATATCCCGTGCCCTTTACTCATAAATTTCGAAATGCTGATCCTTTGGCTCTTCGTCTTCTAGAGCGTTTACTTGCATTTGATCCTAAAGATCGGCCTACTGCAGAAGAGGTAAACTCAATCAGAACACACTTTCTTTTCCTTCGTTCGATTTGCTTTAACAGTTTCCATAAAAAGATGTTATACGGATATTTTGATTTTTGATACAAAAAATTATTTTATCTTATTTCAGGCTCTAGCTGATCCATACTTTGCATCCCTTGCTAATGTGGAACGTGAGCCATCAAGACACCCAATTTCTAAACTTGAGTTTGAATTTGAAAGAAGGAAGCTGGCCAAAGATGATGTTAGAGAATTGATCTATCGAGAGGTAGGGAGCAATAGCTTTTAATATATTTTCCTGTTTGTGTAAACAAGTATAGTCACCGTGCTTGAGATTTTTTTTTTAATATGCAAGCAGATTTTGGAGTATCATCCACAGATGCTGGAGGAGTACATGAAAGGTGGAGAGCAGATTAGCTTCCTCTATCCAAGGTGCAGTACTACATTAGTTTTTCCTTCTAAGGTTTTACTACCATACAATGGGAATAGTTAACTTCAACATCAAACAAAGTTCACTATATACTTTGTGTTTTACTTGCATCCTAGATCCTACTCATTCTTTGTCAAGTTGCTTGTCTTTCAGTACGATCGTTCGCTCAAATCTTACCTACTTTACACTTCCTCACTTTCTGCCAGGAACCTATTTCCCCACACACCAAAAAAAGTACAAGGATTGTTTATAGGAAACAATAATCATCCATTTTGTAACATTATAAGGGTGAAATGCTGTTTTTATTTCTATTGCAAGGAGTTGCTGGATTTGATAAAGCATGTATCTAGCATTATTCTTTTATCTAGTAGGATTGGTATGTTTGTTAATACTACTATCTTGTTGCAGTGGAGTTGATCGGTTCAAACGGCAGTTTGCACATCTTGAGGAGCATTATAGCAAAGGAGAAAGAGGTTCTCCACTGCAAAGAAAGCATGCTTCTTTACCAAGGTACATGATTCAGGAGAAAGAGGTTCTTCTCTGCACTTCTCAGTCGTGCTAAATCCTGCATGTCTTTGTGTATGACAGGGAAAGAGTGGTTGTATCGAAGGATGGTAATACTGAGCAACATATTAATGACCAGGAGAGAAGTGCAGATTCTGTCGCCCGCACTACTGTGAGCCCTCCAAGGTCAGAAGATGTTGACATGAATGATGTGAAATCCACAAGCTTAAGCTCTCGGAGCTACCTGAAGAGTGCAAGCATAAGTGCTTCCAAGTGCGTCGTTGTCACAAATAAACACCCAGAGGTAATGCTGAACTGCCTGAATTCAACTGGTGGCAAGTAGGCAGGGTGGCAAACTTTGCACTATCAATGTCTTTTTTTTATGGCATGCACACTGTCAATATCAAGAAAGGATGTGCAAAAGGACATCTTTGATTGATTTGTTGCATGCAAGCTGTACCTTTTCCTTTGTTCACTTTAGAGATTAGGTAGTGACCCCACCACTCATGTTTGGTTTCTCTGTTAGAATGATGAAATTCCTGAGGAAATGGAAGACGGCGTCGATGGATTGTCTGAACAGGTCTCCAGGATGCACTCCTAGGCAGGACTGTCCAGGCGATAGCAATCTTGGCATATGGTTTCTACGTGGTACACTGTATGCCGATGATATAGAGAACAGCCTGGGAAAGCGAAACACTCTATGGTACACTGCATTGCAAGTTTGAATTATTGTGTACACCCACAGCTAGTTCGACTTTACTTGGGTAGAAGAGGAATATGCCACCGTCTGATGGTCCTTTCTTCATCATTTGTATTTCCACCGTGTCATGCCAGCATGGCGTGGCGTCTCTAGAAGCCCTGCATGGATTCATGAAGAATTCCTGAGATGTAGCACTATCTAGTCCATGGAGGAAACATAATGAAGTACGGTCAGCCTGTCGACCATGAGATGTTTTCTTGCAATGAAGTCTGGACCTATGTTTGAGTTTTATTACAACGGCTTCTGCCGTACGAAGTGTCAGCAGTGTATCATCCCCCTTTTCCATTTTGAGGGGATATCACTACAGTGCACATTTTGTCTGTCAAGGAAAAATGTGAGTTCTCCAGTCATGGCTCATAAGTACATGTACATGTTTATCTTGGATAAAAATTACAAATACTAGTCAGTCGTGGTTTGTCCTGAATAACCAACCTTCGGGTTCTGAACTTTCTTGGGTAACACCTTACACCTCCAGGCGAAGGTAACGAAGTAACTATCGAAACAATGACCCTTGATGCATTTACACAGGCATATGATTCTTTTTTTGGTTGAAAATTTAAAACTTCCGTTGCATTACAAATAAGTGACAGACAGGTTACAGAGATGGAGATCATGTTACCCCAATCGAAATTTTCTAGCACATGCTTGATATTACGTGTTGGGGAATGAGCAAGTGCCTGGTAAAGCACGAAGTTGGGATGATTGGCCGACTTACTCTTTGCCAAAGCATCAGCAATCTTATTTGTTTGTCTACCAATTTTGAGCACCGAATAGCTTTTTGCTTGGTTGATGTCCTGCACTCCAACAATAATAGGACGCAGCGACCAATGTCCAAGATGAGAACGTGGTAATCTAGCAAGCACGGCGGAAGGCACCATCTGATTGTCAATTAACAAAGCTGCATCCCGAAGATCGAGTGCAGCAGCTAGCTTGGCACCAAAAAGGAGGGCGTATGCTTTAGCCTCCAAGGGTTCCAATACCTGCGCAATCGCTACCTGAAAAAAAAAGCATGGGAAATACTTCACAATTCCAGTTTGATTGCGTGCAACTAGATTTTGAGAGTCAACAGAAGCATCATTGAAAATTTTAGGGCCTTCATGAACCTGCAAGGTAGCAAAACGAGAAGCCTCTACAACAGTAGGAGTTGTAGTAGCCTGTGGAGTGGGCTCAGACATAGTATCATCTTGAAATGCAAGATTGTAAGCCCCATCAATGGCCTTTGCCTCTTGCAACACTCTTGCAAGCAACCAATTTAAGGTATTAAATCTGTGATCATTACGAGCTTTCCATAAACACCACATGATGGAGAAAATTATTCCTATAGTAGCTTGAGATGGCCCTTGCCACAATATGGCGGCAACAATGAAGTCCATGGCCTGCCTGGGGTAAGACATCAACTCTAAGGCCAATAGGTGACGCAAACCATACCGCTCGAGCGAAGCTGCAATCAAAGAAAAGATGTTTGTCGTCTTCAGGCCTTCCACAACGAGAGCAATTCTCATCAATCGTCCAAATAATCCTGCGGATCCCGCGAGCTGTCCCAAGGGCGAGTCTGAGAAACCTCCACACGAACGTTTTGACACGAGGCTGAATTGTTTTATCTGCCCATACGTGTCTAAGAATCTCCAGCACCTGCATAGGAATGTTAGATGGTGTGTTTCTTGCTGCCTCCTCTGTCGCTAGCATTTTATAGGCGCTTTTTGTTTGAGCACATGCCACTAAGACTGGCTTCCAATATAAAATATCAGGCTCATCTCTCACCACAAGAGGAATCTGCAAAACAACCTGCAAAGTACGTTGACCAAAGAGCACTATAATCTTATTTTCGTCCCACTTTTTACAGTTTGGGAGCCAAAGATCAGAGACCTTATTTGGGATTTGGTAATCCGATTCTTCAAGGTTTAAACAATCATGCATCTCCTTCCATATGGGACACCATGGTTGAGACCAAATAGAGGTATTCCCATTAACAAATTGGACTGTGACATTTTGCTCAAGGTGGTGTCTAATGCTTAGGATAGAAGACCAGAAAGTAGATTTTGGAGAATAGTAAGGAGCAGTCCAAAGAGAGCGATAAGGGAAATATTTTGCTTTAATGATTTTGGACACACTTGAATTAGGATGATGGGCTAGCCTCCATGCCGTATTGATAAGCATACCTTGGTTGACTAATTCCAACTTTATTTCTAATTCCCAAACCACCCTCATTTTTTGGCTTGCAAATTGTCTCCCTCTGTAGTGGATGAGCTTCCTTTGTTGCTCTTTCTGTACCCCTTGCCACCAAAAGTTGCGGTGAGCTTGGCTAAAAAAATCTTACAGAACAAGATATTAGACATATAAAAATTGGAATAGAAGCAAAAGCTGATTGTATCAAAGTTAAACGCCCAGCATAGCTCAAAGTGTTTACTTTAGTGAGAGTGAGCCTAGATCTGAAATTTTGATAAATAAAATCATAGACTTTGTTTGTCTCATGGCTAATAAGCAAAGGATGTCAGTATTGTGGTTGAAATAAGCACCAGGAAAAAAAACTTGATCTGAGCTCTAACAGTGTGACTCACCTTTTGCTAACAAGAAGATTTGGACCAGTTTGGAGTTTGCCCTGACATAGCACAAAGTTCTAAAGGATACTATTTATTTCATGTAAAAAAAGGCGTACCCAGTACAGAGAGCTTCCGCTCTGTGTGGGGTCTGGAGAAGGATGTCAGTGGCAAGCCTTACCCTCGCCTGTGCAATGCGAGAGACTACTATTTATTTCATGTATTTCATGCAAATCAGCCTTGCCACAAATGATGAGATCGTCAGCAAAGAGAACAGAGTGGATAGGGGGCATCCTGGTCCTAACGTGACACCTGTAAGATTCGCATTGTCCAATGCTTCCTGCAATCTCAAATAGCAAATGACAAACAAGTATGGTGACAGTGGGCAACCCTATCTAATTCCTCTTGGCGCTTTGAAATTCCCATACGTTTCTCCATTGACATTGACTGAAAAGCAAGTGGAAGAGATGCATGCATGTACAAATTTGATGAAGTGACCATGAAAATATTTTTATGAAATGAATTGCGAGTAGCCCTCTCGTTTACTCAGTTCGACACGTATTAATCGTACCATGTGAGCTCCGGAACCTTCAGCTAGTTATCTGTATTATCTCGAGGAACTGCGTGAATATAAATAGTTGGGCAAAATTGTTACACAAGCTTCCTTTTGCACGGAAAGGAAAATAGAGGTTCGAATATTTTTTTTGAATCCCACAAAAATGAAGGAAAACATTTTGGATGACAGAAGAAAACGTCGATAAACATTCCTTTTGCACAGAAAGGAAAACGGAGGTTCAAAAGATTTTTTAAATCCCACAAAAATGAGGAAAACATTTTGAATGATAGAAGAGAACGTTGGTAAACAAAAAGAACAAGTGTCACCATAGACTTCTTTACATCGAATCCTGCTAAACATACTTATAAGGCAAACAGTTAAACTAAACATGAGCCAGACAGAAGCTATCAGTGCAAGCCAGGTAAGAACTGTTGCAGTAGCTGTAGCGGCGACGAGGAGGCTGCGGCTACAACAGCGAAGGTGAAGCCACACTCTTAGAACTTCAGCAGACTGTTGAGGCTTGTGGAGCGGGGATGACCGGTGCTTCTAGAGCGGCAACCACCGATGCTTCCGGAGTAGGGACGACCGGTGGTGCAGCGACCACCGGGTGATAGGGGCTAGTTTATACCCAAGAAAGTCAGGGCCTCGCGATGAGCTTCAGGAAATGTGAAAGACAACATCATTTGAGTAGTACTCTTATCATCAATTCAGCTTTACGATTGAGAGAGTACCAACATCAATAGAGTCATAGTTCATGTTAATTTAAAAAATATAAACAATACTCAACTCAATAGCTCATATATACTTAAAATAGATAAAACTACTGGACCCGCAATTATAACAAAAAAATTACCCTAAACACATCGAACTTGGTCAACAACGATACAAACATCACATGTGTATTGCTCTCGAACACGAAAAAGGAAATGAGAGGTAATACTAAAGACTAGATCCCGTACAATATATATGGCTTTGTACCTCTCTACCGATGTGAATAACTAAAGACTAGGGTACTAAAGACTAGGTCCGTATAGGAAAAAGGAAATGGGATGAGATACTAAAGACTAGGGTTTGAAGAATGAGAGGAAACCCTTGCCCCTTGGGCTTTATAAAGATGGGAGGTGGGAGGAGGCAATTTTTTTCCTACCCCATCAGTTTACAAATTACATGGAGATCCATGGCCCTCTTGGGCCTTGGGCCTTTTTACATGGAAGGGAGTAAGGCGTAGCTGCACCTACCCCCAATAGTAGCCCCTTAGCCACTAGGCTTTGGCAGGTATAACAAAACCTAGTTACTACAATAAAAGAAAAAAAGGCCCAAGAGTACAATTCCGATGTCTGTCTCGAGCTTCGGTAGGTGCAGTAGGAAGTGTTTTGGCGGTGAAGGTCGGAGGCCATGGTATGATGATGACGACTTTTCGTTTATGGAGGTCGACACCTATCTCAGCTGCTGCGAGGGTCTACACCTCTCTAGGGGTAGCTCTCTATAGC